TTGAGATCCTTAATTCCTTGCAGTAGAAGAACGTGTAGTGTAAGGGAGTCAGTTTATTATGTAACAACTAACCGTAGGGTTGAAGCTATGCGTTGTTAGAGTGATACTGGCTGACAGCAATTTTCAATCTGCTACTACCTTGTCAATAATCCTATCAGCCTCCCTCCTCACATAAGTCTGCATCCAAACGGCAATCTGGGCATAAAAATTATCTCCTCTCCCCTTCCAGCAACCCGGAGTATTATAATCAGACCCAGACTTCCGTGCCAACAGACCCAACAAATGCTTCACCTTATCGAGGCCAATGCGGATGATATGGCGCCTAAGCTCCACAGCATCCTGGCCCACAACCCTACCGGCGCCAAAGCGAAACACGTTCTGGCCAGGCATGTAGATAGCGTGGGCGAAAGTAGCCGTGATCTTATGCAAGAAGACGTACGCGAGGACCTCGAGGGAGGGGTCGTGGGCGCACTCGCAGGCCGCAAAGTCGGCCACGACGGCCAGCGCGTCCTTGTTCTGCTGCAGCGTGCACTGGACCGAGGGGCGCTCGAGCTCGAGCTCGGGCCCAGGCGGGTCCCGCATCGAACACGCAATCGCGACGAAGCACGTGCACGAGGGGTTGGCGCTGACGCTGGGCGGCGGTCCAGGCTGCCGATCTGCCCACCCGCTTGTTGGTGACTCTCCTGCTGCTGCTGCTGCTGCTTCCGTGGCCCACATTGCCGGCAGAAATGCCATTTCGGGGCCGTCGGTCTGGTCGCCCATGCTTGTGTGGAACAGAGTGTGGTTCGTCTCCGGCGTTGCCGCCCCTGCCAACGGCGGGACCGACGCGTCATTGAACAGGCTGGAGTAATGCGTGGAGGCCTCATCGCCGCCGAAACATGATGTGGGGAAGGGCGAGAAGTTGTCGGAAGGTGGCGATGGTTTTGATCCTTCTGGTGTGGAGGTTGGAGGGGATGTGGATGTAGATGCCTCAGGGCGCTCTTTCTTGGCCATGCGCCTTCCGGCTGGCTTCAATTGGCTGCGGATGCAGACTATCTTCAGCTTCTGGCATCGGATGCAGGTGTCGGACCCGGTGAATGTGCATCTGAGCTTCAGCCGATGACAAGGATCACAGGAGGCTCTCAGCCTCCTAGGGGTCCTTTGCTCGCTTTCAGCCATGTCTGAGCCGGAAGTAAAAGTTGGTTTTCAGGGATTGTTGTGAATAGGTTGACGATGTTCCCAAGCTAAAGTCCGTTGTCTGTGATAGCAAATTGAGAGTCTGGTACTTGTATACACGGGCTGACTGGCTGCTTCTAATGACTTCCGATAGCCGTAGGTGTTCAGAATCACACTCCTCAAGCAACCTACTGGGGCCCCGGACTTGGGGCCGTAGGAAAATTCGGGAAGTCGTCGCCCCCAAACGGAGGTAAAACTCTAGACAACAACTGTGGATCGCGTTCCACAGAGCATTGATGAGTACGTCGTGAATCATGGCTGGAGGGAGACCCACATGGGAACAGCTGCAGTCTACAGATCGGCAAGGCTCCAGGACTCCATTTGGTAAAGCCAAGAAGCTTTGGATAAGGTTGCTAAGCATGTCGATGAGCATCTCCCTCGACTTTTCGTTTTTTTTTTCTTTTTAACCGTAAGATGCTGGTACTCGGCAACTCCGAAAAGAGCCGAATCAGGAAGGTCATGCATTGAGGCCCCCAAAGCCCATCTGCAACTATCCGTCAAAGTATCTTCCCGGTAGCTGGTAAACACTAAAAGAGCCAAGGTTACATAAGTATCGCCGTCGGCCGGGATTGCACGCATCCTATGGTGAAGCGAGTAAGTGGCGTTGATCGTACGCGGTATTGCGAATTGAGCGGTGCTCCGCTGCCTACCTCAGTTCGCGCGGTTTTGCCTGTTACTAGGGTATGTCGACCGGGGGAAGAGGTGGGTCTCACGTCTCAAGGTATGTTGGTACACGGTGGCATGCGGCTGAGTAAAAGAAAAGCCCGTGCTTACGACCCCTCGCATCTTGTCAAATGCATACCAGACTAGGAGCCTTCGCTCCCCCCACATCGTATTACCCCGCTGGGTGATGTCTGCTATCGGATAGCTCCCACACGACCCAAGGAAGCAGGTAATGAACTAATTTCAGCAGCCATTACATATCATACCCATTCTATCTAATGTATGTACCTACCTATGCGGAATGTTTCTTGAAAATCATCCCAGCACCCAATCACCACGCATCACAACAATGACGTCTCCACCGCGTTCTCGGCCAGCCCAAACGCCTCATCAAACGACACCCACGTCTCAGCCCCCTCCGCCGCCGGCTCGAGGCTCGCCCACAACGCATCCATGTCCCCCCAGTCGACAGCCCCGCTTACCCGCTGAAAAAGTTCCGTATCGAATTGCTCATCGGACGAGGGCGCCAGTGCGCCGAGGCCTTGCTTATCAGCGGCAGGGACGGGAGAGGTGCTGGCGCTGGCGCTGCTGCCGCCGTTGGCCGTCTGTGGTCGTGACGATCCCGCCCTCGTCAATGCTTTGCTAGTATCGTTGGGGAGGCTGTTGCGGCGGAAGCCGCTGATGATGGCGTCGACGTTACCGGCCAGGGTGCGCGCTAGCTCCGAGACTTGGCCCGCCTCTGGCAGGACCCCGCTGTACATTTCAACGACCTTGATGGCTGTATCGATGGCTTTGCATGTCGCTGCCGTGTAGTGGCTAATCGGGAATGTGTAGGCGAAACCGAGCATCGTGAACAGGGCGTTCTTCTGCCAGCGAAATACCTGGTTCATGCCGTTCAGGACCTCCGACGCGTCCAGAGCCTGGTGGATGAGGTTGGTCAAGGTGATGGCATGGTTGAGGCTGGAGGTAGCTTTGTTGTCGGAGAGCGGCGTCGACGCTTCGGGCGTGGGCGCAAAGCATATGAAGGGCCGGTATAAGTTTAGTGCGTGTTGGTGGTACTGAAGTTCAAGAAGGAGCCGTTGCCGTTGGTACTGGATCGGCACGTTATGGTCGAGGTCGAGTGGGGCACGGTCGGTCGAGAAGGCTTCGCCGCCTCTCCGCTGCATGCGGTAGCCGACGGGGACTTGCGAGGCCCACGCTCCCAGCAACTTGATCTGTTCTGTGAGAAAGTGTGCGGCTTCTTCTCGTGTGGCGCTGTTGCTGTAGAAGCTCTTTGTGCCGGTCTCGCTCAAGCACTTGGCGTGAAAGGCCGAGGAGATGGACCTGACGGTTTCCAGAAGGCTCAGCGTCCGGTTCTGGAAGCCGAGCCAGGTCGTGCTGCCGTCACCGAACATGTAATGGGGCCCAAGCGAATGGGCGATGTCCAGCGCGTCAGACGGAGGATGGCAGTTGGAATGCGAGGGCGTGACCATGAATGGGCGGCCGACCTCCATGCCCAGCTGCGCGTCAAGGATGTACAAACTCCACCACGTGCGGCGAGTGATCTCCTTCTGTTCCTCGAGCTCATCCGCCGGCGGCTCGTTGTTCAGGCCGAGGATGATTGCCATCATGATGGCCTCTCCGCTCAAGACTTGAGCCCTGTTCAGCAAGCCGGCCTCGTAGAGATAGACGATGCTGAAGACATGGCACTGGACGGTGGTGATGGACGGCGATTCGATGGTGTCGGCGACCAATGACTGGCAGCGCTGGTAGTACTGCAAGCCGGCGAGAGCGGGATAGCTGGGCTTCTGCGAGTCCGGGATGAGCGAGGCGCCCAGCTGGATGCACAGGGCAAGGACTATGTCAACGAGCGGTGAGGGCTGGCGAGGGGCGTGCGGGGCGCAGCCAGCCCATAGCGAGCGGTAGTGCAGGCGGAAGTCGGCCTCGTTGATGATGGGGTAGCTGAAGTGGTGCGTCTGCCAGAAGAGGTCGAGGAAAGAGTCTTCTTGGGCGCGAGGCAGGAAGTCTGTGCCGGCCACGGCGCTAAACAAAGGGACGGGGGTGGTAGGGGTGGTGCTGCCGTCAAGAGGCGGGTGCTGGTGGTGCAGGCCTGTCGTCTGGAGGAAGGCGCTCATGCGCTTGAGGAAGAAGGGCAGCGACAGGACGCCATAGTGCACCTCGCGCGTGACGTCGACGCGCACGCGGCTTTCCAGCTCGCGCACCTGCGCGCGCAGTCGCTCGACCTCTCTGTGCCAAATGCGGTCAGGCTGGAGGCTGGGCCGAGAGAGGGGGAGGAGCGCACCTACTTGGCCGCCGCGGCGATGCTCCGGAAGTGAAAGTGGTTTTGGCCGTTGGTAACGCACTCGCGACCTGCTACCTGGCAATTTCGGCACGGGCGCCCGACTTCGCATTTGATCCGCATCAGCTTGCACCAGTCGCACGCCCGATGCACTTGGCTCCGCTTGGGCCTCAGGCCGTCTTTCTGCCCATCAGCGCGCGACAAGGTTCCGTGAAATGTGGTAAACATGGCCCGATTCTTGCTGGCTGGGTCCCGGCGTCGCATACGTCCCTACCTTACTATATATGAGATGATAATCCCCTCGGCCGAACCCCCTCCCTATAACGTTCGTATTGATTACATCCTTTGCCGGTTGGATGAAAAAAGAAATATGGGAAAAGAACAGAACGGCTTATAGACAACCCGAGCCGAGCAAATTCCTCTCTAGGACTAGTCTTGAGCCTTATCGAAGCTTTACCACGTACGCTCCCGCTCTGCCGCCCTGCCGTTCGATCGTGAGTCTGTCAACTGATCCGTGCGCAGGCAGAACCTCGACCTCAACCATCCCACAACTACCTCTCTTTCATCAGTTCGATAACCACGGACACCGGCCTACCCTAACCTGCAATCCTGCAGTCAGCCACCTGTCTGAGCGACCTGCAGCTCAGCAAGGCCGACCACGTGACCTACCAGGCCGCCAGCGCGAGCCGCTTGGACTAATATTGTTCCGTTTCCGCTTCACGTTCGAAACCCGCGTGCCCGACATCGCATCACCAACATCACCCTGAGCGCAACAGCTGCGAGCCGTCGCTACGCCCATCGACTGCCAGTGTTTCGCCCTCTGCTCTTCCGCTCGGAGCATTGTGCCATAGCTGGTCCTTTCGGCGTTGGCTTCCGCTCTCGGTTGTGCGGTCGCGTGGTGTCGCGTTACGACGCGTGCATTCTTTACGCCTTTCTCTTCCTTCAAGCACGTCTCGGTCAAAGCATCCTTCTCTCACTGCCGCGTCGTCACCTTGTCGGACTTGTGTATTCTTTTGAGTCAAGGCTGCTCGCGCTCAGAAGCCTGGGCGGGTGGGATCCTACGCCGTCGCGTGGGGGATTCATTCTTCCTTTTCCATCTTTGTTTATCAGGTTTGCCATCTGCGTGATCCATCTCCAACCTATCGTCACCATCTCCGACTTTTCGCAATGGATAGTCTCAAGGTCCAAGGCGGTGATTTGAAATGGAGCATCAAGGATCGAGCGCTGATTGAATGGCACGACGGGTTGATAGGAAAGACGCGTTGCCTGGGTCACTTGTCCAACGATCCGGCGTTGGCCTTGTGGGTGGGCCACGATCCTACACCTGGTGCCAAGTCGCTTTTGATCGTGTTCGATGTGCCCTTTAAACAAAGCAGGACGCGACAAAAACGATGCAAGCATATGTGCTTTGCTGTCCGATCTGAAACATTAATGTCTAGCAATTACTTTGTCCCGGAAGTTGTCTCTACCCCCGCCCTCTCAGCCCAGACACTCAACAATCTCCGAAGAGTTGGATTGGTGGAAAACAGTTTCAATAGAGTGATCCGCATTTCTTTCCAACTGTCAAGCCCGGCACATGTTATCATGCCAAACATCCAATTCAAAACCCCTCTTGAGGGATCGGCTCGCGACGTTGTCCAAAGCCTCCGTTCCCTGTCCGAGACACGCAGCTTTCACGTCTATATGAAATTTAACACCTATCTCCAAAAAGACGCCGAAGGAGTAAGAGACATGCTGCTAGAGGGCTTCACAACTCCAGACATCGACATGCGCCCTTTGTACGAAGGTCGTCGCCCGGCCATCAATGCATGGGATAAATACCCGTGCTCCGAAGTTGATGCGTCGACACCACCTAACCCTTTGGAGAGAGAAGCTTCCCTGCCTCCGCACTACGAGGAGGTCGACTCTGACTCTATCGAGCATATCACCGACGCAGAACCGATGATACTCGTCCCCTTCAGCGACAAGGACAACGCATCGCCACGCCGACGAAGCTCGTCCGCAGGTGTTATACCTGAGACGCCAATGGACGCTGCTGCTTCGAACGGTGAGCCACAAGTAGGCTCCGAGCATCCTGACGAAAATCAAAACAGCTCGCGCCATCCCAGCCGTAAGCGAAAGGCCACAACAGAACTCGAGCACTCAGCCGCGGGCGGTCCCAGCCGCCCTGCAAGACCCCGAGCCGCTACCAAGACGTTGACGAGCACCGACCTCCACATTCTGCTTGCAGAGTGGATCCGCAGCGCGGCAAACATAAACTCGCGCGTCCACGAGCTTGCGTGCATGCGCGGCGTGCTACTCAAAGCGGGCGCGATGGCCCGGAAAGCCAATGTCGAGAGGTTCGATGAAGCCATGGACGCATGCTGTGCGAGATTTGCGTTGTCACAATCGGACGACACGTTGGCCGCAATATCGCGGGACAATGGTGAGTTCATAGGCGTCGAGGAACTAGAGCCTCAGTTTCGGGATATCGCAAAGTGGGCGAGAAGCTTCAGCCGCAAAGTGCCGAGGATGATCTTGGCCCAGTTGGTTGATTGGGGAGAGGCTGTGCGCAGAGATGATGTGGAGGAGTCTTCGACGCGAAAGAGCTTTTGTGTTTCGTCTGTCTTTTTCATTTGTGGTGACCTTGTTAACTCCAAATCGTCGTGATTCACTCTTTTATTCAGTCTTGCGGCACAATTTCCTGCTGAAATGTTGGACAATCTGCAGTCCAACCCTTCTTTTCGTTTACCGTGTACAATTTTTCTCTCTTCATGACGTTAAGTCTAGAACAGAAAGCTAGCCTCGAGGCCATTCAATTTTCATGTCTCGTCGAGTCTACCACTAGCTCGTAGGCTCTTAGGACGGCAGAAAAGTTGGCACATGCTGCACTAGAGAACTCGTATTAGGTACAGTTTTGACGCAGCAAAAAGCAAAACATTTCAGGTAATAGTTCCCCCGCTTTATAACACTAGACCTTGACGAATTCCCAGATCAGCTCGTCAGCGTCCCAGTTTTCAATCATTGCTAGCATGCTTTTCCCTTTCCCATTCTCTACATTCATCCCCACAGGCCGCAGCGTCCGCCAACTCGTCATGAGCAAGACGCACCCTCCTCTAGGCCTCTCACGCACGCGGAACTTTTCCCATCCACGAAACCGCGTAGCGTAGCAACTGAGGCTCCAGCTACTGTCTCGACCAAGGAAGCGTCCCGAGACAGCATTGCAGAATCCGAGCCAACCATCACTATCAGCTTCCGCGCACACCCAATGGGACGCATGGCCGTCCGGCAGCGCTAGCACAATGTCTCCCCCTACAAGTGTGATGACAGCCCCGGATGCGACGGACCTGATCATGTAGGTCTGACCGAGGCGGGGTGTAAGCGAAGTGGATTTGGCGTCGTCATCAGGGACGCCGACGCCAATGCTCGAGGGGGGCGAAGCAGGTGTGAAGGTTGGCGAGTAGTCCGTTTCAGCATCAGAATCCATCATGCTTATTGTTCTAGGAGCCTGGGTCGTGTCAGCTTTATCGCGGTGTTTCTTGCGTTAACACAAAGATTAACTTACAATCCCGAGGTTAGTGGATAGATTGACCGAGGAGAGTCGTGGATAACGAGATCAGACTGGCAATGCCGTCGAGAAGTGTTGAGGAAACAGCTGTGCTATGATGCAGAAATGATGTGGTAGTGATGCGAAAGTGATGAGATGGTCCGTTTGCTCCGTACCCAGGATCACTCGGTCTGTCGCACAGTTTCCTTGCGGAACCGGTAAATCATTTGTTTATGTATCGTTGGAGTTGGGAGTACACCCATCTAATTTAGCGACCTTGTGGTTGGGTGATGAATCATTAGGTGTTGCAGCGGGCAGCGATAATTCAACATTTGACCACCGAACCTGCATAAAATCCAGATAGCAACGCTTAAGGGCTAGTGATTAATCAAAGAACACCTTGTCAGCGTTGCATTTTTACAATATCCCCTGACCGGGAAAATACTCGAACCAGGCCCATTTCAGATAATCATTCAATTACCGCTTCCTGCCGGTTCTACCGCTAGTTCATGGGCTCCCGGGCCAGCGAAAAGCTCAGCACGCGCTGCACCGGGTAACTCGCTCATCCCATCTCCTGTGTATTTTTCAACTCCGTCTGCTTCGGCGATGGTGGGAACCGCCTTTGTGCGACTCCTCTTCCACAAAAGGAACACACAGAAGGCTAACGAGAGGACTGCTATAGGTACGCAGACCCCTATGGTTATCTTCACTCCGCGGCTGGTGCCACTTGTGCTACTGGAAGATGAAGTGCCACTGGTGGATGATGTAGGACCTGGGCCGGATTTGCCAATGGAGGTACCTACCATTACTCCTGTTGAATCCGGTGATCCAGCCGAAGTGGCTAAACATTATCAGCTTCTTTGATCACAACATTAGAGATTCAACGTACTCGCTGGCCTTATAGAAGCCAATCCCGCCTCTACGCCAATTGCGCAGTAATCATCGAAGACCTTGAGTGCGGACAGAACTTCCTTCACACCAGATGATGACCCGCATGTTGTCATGACCGCGTTTGATATGGCTATTCTCATCTGAGTATAACTCCTTGTGCAAAAGCAGGTATATGATGTCAACCGTAAACTATCCCCGCAACCACTGAACTGTCCACGGACGATTGTGCTTAGCGGTGCTTCGACGCATGAGTCCAGCTCAGAGTATCCAACAACATCGTTGATGAAGATACTGGTCATTGTAACGACTGAATATTTTGTGTCAATCCCAGTGACATTTGTGGGTGATGTAGGGGAGAGCTCTGTGGCTGTCGAAGTGCCATTTGCGGAGGTAACTGTGGATCCAGTTGAAGTTGTTAGCATTTCTTCTTGTCTTTTAACGTGCAGGTCAGTTTGTGAATGTCTAAATACCGGACGTCTCCATCTCCAACCCTCTCCAGTGGTGGCGGTAGGTAAAACCCTATGACAGTCAAACTGATCAAGAGCAGAGCTGAGTGAGCGCAGCAAAGAAGATTCAATCGCTCAGCTCAAAGGCTAGCGTTAAAAATGAGGGATTACCTTAGTAATGGATAGTTTTTGCTTGTTCAACCACGAGCTGAATGTACGTAGTACAGCGCTGTCACAAGACTGCCTGATTTGGTTTTTTAGTTCTCTGTTCACTGTTGTCGCTCTCCTAGGTCCCTACCCAATTTCTTAATGTCTCTCCCTTCTACTGCAAATACCACTTTGTTTTGTGCGTGCGGTTCAGCTTTTTTTAGGCGTGATCTGTACGCTGTCAGTGTGGTTCTTTGTTGTCACGCGGCCGCACGCTTACAATAATGGCTTTGTACAACGTAAGCACGTACGTGCACGTCCAATACAACCTGCACTATAATCTTTTGGCTAAGGTAAACCAAATCTAACGTCCCGAGTAGTTCCCAAAGCCAGAAACGTTCCTTGTTCGGGTTTAGCGTAGTGGATTAGTCAGCTTTCGCCATTTTCAAATCGACAACCTAAAGCTTTTCTTCGCTCAATCAACTTCCCATTCAACTTTGTTTTTTGATGTTAATACCTGGCTTTATTCTCCTTAAACCGTCAAACGTAGTTGTTTGTAGTGGCGGCGACTAACAAATCTGCGCGACTTGTGCGTCGGGTCGGCGACAACCTTTTCTTCAGTCAGGATCTCTCTGGGTCCAAGCGCAATCCAAGCATTTCTTAACAGTCTACCCGACTTTCTCCTACAATCCCGCTATATATTTTCGGCTCTTTGCGTTCTTTCCGTCGCACAAGAAGCATCTCCCACTGTCGCCGACACGCCACCCGCTGCAGGACCACCAAAACAACAGTTGAAATTACTTCAAAACCTCTAGACTCTATTAAAACTATGATCAAGATCCCTAAAGCTTTTACCCTCAGCCCGCGGCGCTCTTTCTTACAAGAAATATCTTTGTCCACGAACCGAACAACCGTCCCAAGACTCCGAACTGCACATGGCTTCCTTTCTTCCCAGCTGAGACTCAACTGTGGCCAAAACAAACAAAGGCCAGGATGTCACCGCAATGCGACAATCCCAATGTCAATAACCTCCGCCGGATTCTGGACCTCAACGCCTATCTGGAAGCGGGCTGGTGTCAACACTCTCCGGTGTCTTGTTGGATGCACCACCGGTGACTTTTCCGCAATGTGGTATCTCCAAGCTTTTCAACCGGACCTTGGGATGCAGACCATCATGGCTATTTCAAGTTTGTTTTTGAAAATCCTTCTTGTATGACTTAATATTGACTCAGCATAGTGGCCTCCGGAATCACGACATCTATCCTGCTTGAAACCGCCCTTCTCCGATTCGGCCGCGATCAGCTTTCTTGGTTAACTGCCGCAAGAACTGCCGTTGGTATGAGTATGATCTCAATGATCACGATGGAGGTCGCCGAAAATGCTGTTGACTTTCATCTTACTGGCGGCATTGTGCAGTTTGATTCTCCAGCATTTTGGGCTGCTGCCTTGGTTTCAATTGGTGCTGGTTTTCTTGCGCCTTTGCCATACAACTACCTGCGGTTAAGGAAGTATGGGAAAGCTTGTCATTGATGCCAGAGCATATTGGATTTACGCTTATACCTGTCGGTAATTGCTGCGGAACAAGTTGTTGTCATTGCAAATTTCTTCGTAGTCCTTTCTATATTGGAAGTCAGTTTTCTTCACATGAAAGATCATGCGAAGGCGATGATTCAGACTCGTATCCGCAACTGTGACCCCGCACGATCTGCCGACCTGGAACGGATTTAGGACTTAAATTCTTATTTCCGTGGGTGCTGGTTGTACGCTTCGTCCATATAAAGAGCTGCGCATCTAATTAGCTAGCTCTGCCTTCCATAAAACACTAATTCGCCAGATCCTCTACCTACTGAACCATCAACATGGCTCTTACCTATCCGCCCAAGCCTTTGGAGACAGGTGCGCAGTCTTCTGAGTCGACTCTTTCACGCTGCGCCGCAGTATGCTGACGTCACTCTCAGGTGCTAAATTCACAAGCATCCTCCACGGTGATACTTACCCCGCTATCACACCCGCACAACATGCAGACCTCAGCAACCGCATCGTCTTCATTACAGGCGCCTCGCGCGGCATCGGCCTCGCTACAGCCAAGGCATGTGCCGCCGCTGGCTGCACACAACTTGCCCTAGCCGCGAATGATGGTATCGCGGACATTAAAGAGGTCGTCAGGGCAGCAGCGCCCGAAAGCACGCGCGAATCACTCGAGATTCTAACGCTGGACGTTGACGTGCGGGAAGAGGCGAGTGTTGGCGCGGCAGCGGCGGCAATAGAAAAGGCGTTCGGCGGCTTGGACGTGCTTGTGAACAATGCTGGCTACATGGAATCGGGCAAGCCGCTCGCAGAGAGCGACCCGGATGACTGGTGGAAGACCTGGGAGGTCAATGTGCGGGGCAACTATCTTGTGACGAGGGCCATGCTGCCACTGCTGCTGAAGAGAGGCGACGAGGGGCTGAAAACGATCGTGAATCTAGGCTCGAGTGGCGCGCTCTCCTACCGTCCAGGTGGGAGCTCTTATCGGTCGAGCAAATGGGCGATTTTCAAACTCACTGAGTATGTGATGGCGGAGTATGCGGACAAGGGCATTTTGTGCTACACAATCCATCCTGGAGGGATTTTGACGGAGATGGCGAAGAGAATGCCAGAAGAGGTGCATAGTGGTAAGTGCTGGTTATCTTCTGCAGCCGCTAATCAAGTGCTGATGATGGAGCAGCTTTGAGTGATAAACCGGAGCTGGCGGGTGATACGATTGTCTTTTTGTCTCACAAGCGACGAGAATGGTTGGCAGGCCGGTACATCAGCTGCAGGTGGGACATGCCAGAGTTCCTGGCAAGGGAGAAAGAAATCGTGGATGGTGACAAGCTGAAACTTAAATTGGTTGTATAAATTTAAGTTTCAAGTTGCATCGCTCACGGATTAATCGCTCACGGATTAATGCATGCTTCAAGAACAGTTTTGATTACGGCACTATTAGCGCTCATCCGCATATCTTAAGAATCCCATCTCCAGAATTTAAGTCTACCAAAGGCCTTGCTGCGGTCGTTTAAGCTGTTAAGTAGGCCAGCTAGCATTTCAACCAATCCAAGCCAAAGTATAGGTAGTTGAAGTCGCGGTCGTAAGCGATGGCGAGTTAAGCTCGTCGGCGTGTGTTTTGATGCTCAGAGCACACATCTAGTAAAAGAATCCAAGGACCTTGCCGCCAACGCGCTTCTCCTTGGCTTCCTCCTGGTCCATAATTCCAGCAGAAGTTGTGAGAACAACGTAACCAACTTGGCAGGAGGAAATGAGCCTGTTGGTCCACTTCTTGATATCCCGGGTCTTGATAGCCAGGGACGTGGAGACTGCTTCGGCCTTCTTGAGTTGATGTTTTCCATCGAGTTGGACAAGGAGCTTGTTGTTTCTTTGGTTATCAAGTTCTTCGATAGCTTTGATGTAACCTGTTGAATAAAACGTCAGCTAAGGAGTATTAAATCATTAGGTGGTGTCAATCCGGAAGCGCATGGAGAGCCTAAGCCATCACGCTCACCTACCGTGTTTCTGCATGACATTCAAGAAGCCGAGGACTAACTTAGAGGAAGCATTGATGGTCAACTCGCGCTTGCCCCGCTTCTGAGCGTTGACGATCTTCTCCAGCGTGTCTTTCAGCAAGTCAAGCGCAGGCATTTTGTTAGACTTTAGAGGGCTCAAGGGGAATGTGTTGCGCTTGAAAAATAGAAAGAGCTTCGAGTTGCCAGAGGTTCAAAAGTTTCAGTGCCAAGATAATTTAGCGGCTAACCGAAAATGGGGTTGGTGTGTGAATGGGTAGAGAATGTGACCTCATTTCACACATGGGCTTCCTTTGTGTTTCACACTTGACCCCGTCACGAAGTGCCCGACCCAAAGATCATTTCGCATTGAGATTTTTTAATTGCTAACGTTTAGAATGCAAATCGGTATTTTTAATGCGTCATTATCTATTACGAATGATTCTGGGTTTTTTCACTCCTCTCCCGGTCTTGGTCGCGGCTATTAAGAACGGTTTCCAGCTAATGACGCGCCTAATCAGCCTGATGAAGATTTAGCGACTAAACCTCGAACCAGACCCTCCTCTGTGCCGGTTTCTACTTTTTGTTGGTACATGTGATGCTGCTTGAACCCGTTCATTCCAGCATTTTCCCACTCTACGGGAGAACAAAGAAAATGGTCCGAAAAAAGACTAATGCTCTACCTAATCCTCGAACTACGATGCCAATAATTGCGATGGCATAAGATGAGTTGGAGTTGGAATCCAAATTACTTGGTATATTGTGTTAGTTAAAGACGGTGTTGAAATTTTGAGAGCTACTCAACCAAAACAGCGAATCAAAACTTTGAATTATTATAAAACATTTACTTACCCGCCATGGTAGTAGGCCTTTCAGTGATAGCCTCTATCGCGGCATAGCTCCTTAGAATTGTCCTGGTCGCAGCATAAGCTCGACAATACACTTCTTAATTCGGATATCATCGTGGATCATTGTATCCTCTTTTGTGGTTTGCTTTGTACCATCTGGAGAAACCACAGCTCTAGCCTTGTCCACGTTATAATCTCCCCGAGACGCTGTGCAATTAACAAAACAACAGGTTATATTTCTTGGATTGCTTTGCGCTGATCATAAATCTATGGAAATCAGAACCTGTCTTCCGCAACTGGAATGAGTTTGAATCTATCGTTCCGCAACCGCTCACGGTATGCTATGTCCGAATCATTTGCCTGCAGTGCCGATTTTATATACTGCTTGAAAGTAGCCGACATTTCGACTACTTGGCTCACATGATCTTCTGTAATGGTTGGTACTTCTTCGTTGTTTTGTTTTGCTTCATACGAAGCAAGTGCAACGGCTGTTTGAAAAGCTGTGTAACGCAACATGTCAGTTTCGTACTCCGGTCTCGACACGTTCATACACTGACCGTTACGAATTTCCCGGCCATTCCACTTAAGACTCTGCAAGCTCTTTGACGTCTTAACGTACTCCTTGGCGGTGATAGAGTATTTGATCTCTCTTCCTCCTTGCTTGTGGTTGGTGATTAGCTTTTTGAAGCTGTTGTTCCAGATCGCCAGCCGAGAAGCATCATCAAGTGGTTCGTAGCCAATCTGCAAGTGGATTCGAGACATGAAGGCTTCGTCGAAAGAGCCAACACGATTTGTGGTGAGGAAAAGTATACCCTGGAAGTAGTCCAAAGCGCGAAGAAAGACTTATTGTAAATCAGCACGCTGTAAACTAGCCACGAATAATTCTTACCTGACACAATGCTGTTCCTCCTAAGATCGTTTGCTGACCGCCTCTCAAGGTATACATCAGCCTCGTCGAGGAGAACAATGGCATCCCATTTAGTCGCGTTCCGGAAAAAACGGAGCAAGTTTTGTTCGAGCACATCAGGTTCATGCCCCAAGTCTGCCGCCGTGATACTTAGGAGTGGTCTCTGGGTATATTCGGCAACCGATTCTAGTTGCCGTCATTAGAAAAACTTTCAGATGCTTGTGCCTTGTTGTATGCTTACCTGCAGTGAGAGTTTTTCCTGTTCCCGGGGGTCCATGAAGGAGCATGACTTGGCCTTCACCTTTTCCGCGGATGAAATCGGCGAAGAAAAGATGTTCACGCTCCGCCTTTTGGCTGTATGTCTCACAAATAGCTTTTACCATTGCCTTGTTGCTCTCCGGTCTCATGACAAGAGTATCAATGACGTTCTTGTCGATTCTTGGGTCCTTCAGCCCCTTTACTTCAATTAGATCTGCAGGTTGTTAGAGCCATTACTGCCAGTAGATAAGTTCCAACGTACCCCACAGTCGGTCATGCAGCGCATATCCGTATACATGCGACCAACAAAGCATGTATTGCTCATCAGTCAAAGTCTTTGTTACCTCAAGGTCTATGTCGTCATAGTCGTCGAAAGCCAGTCGTTGGTATATCGGAGCATCAGAAGCCGAATACTCACACGCTATGCATTGACAAGCCGGGATTCGTGTTCGAGCGCCTAGCTCTATTTCATCCTGTAAACCAGGTACATGGAGATTAGGTTGCTCTCTTGATATTTCGTATTCCCAAGGTTGCGATGTATGATCAACAATGAAGCGAGCATTGTCGAACTGTCAATATTGTTAGCTGTGATGAACTGGCGTCTAGCTCGTCAAAGGACTTGACCAACCTTTCTTGCCCCGTGGAACTGGCTTGGTCCCGTATACTCTTGGAAAGTTGGCGACTTTACTACCTCGAGGAACTTCTTTCCGCGCTCAATGAGCAGCTCCTTTTGAGGTCTCTCGCCCTCCTTGACTTCATGGAATCTTTCAGGGTAGAGCCTCAGAGACCGAATCTCCCTTTCGCCGTCGAAGACTGGAATGGTAATCTTTCTTTGCGAGCGACGCAAGATTTTCCCATCAAAATCAAGATTCCACACATGTACGGCATATGGTTGCACCTTGGCAATTGAACCTATGCCCTGAGGGCCACCCCTGACCGATTCAATGATATAAGCATTGATGGCGCCTCTCTCAGGAACGTAGACTGTTGCGCCAGGCTTAAGCAGCAACCAAAGCGAACTGAATGTGGTTACTGGGATACTTCGGTTCCACATGGCTTCGACCTCTCGTAACCGAATCGAAGGTTGTCCATAGAGATATTGGATGAGAACGTCGATGTGCCTGTTGCATTCTCGGTTGTACTCCTCTGAATGTCGAGATTTAGGGCCATCGGTCTGGTCCTTGTACTGCAGAAGCTCGTCTTTGTGGTGGTAAAGGTCGCGAAATGGGTAAGCAAAAAGACCTCGGTCAAGGTTGTTTGTTTCCCCATACACTCGAAACTTCTCCTCAAGCTCTTCTTCGATGTTTTGAAACTTTATCACTGCCTTTATAGCGTTGAGAAGCATTGTGGAGTTGACACGTAGTGTGCAGCCGCCTAAAATGTCTTCGCTATCGATATCCTCAAAAGTATCGTCCGCTCTGTTTCGCTTGGACATGCCAAGGAATACCCGTCGGACCTCTTGAATTATAGAGGAAGTCTTTGTTTGGTTGAACTGTGCTTGATAGTTTGGTGCTTTTTCGTACGTCACCTCTCGTAGGAAGTCCGGCATTGATGATCCATCCTGCTGGTATAGCTCTAGGGCATAGGATACGTCTAGCGCTGGTTCGGCTTCCGTCGGTTCCTCTGGAATAGGAGTTGAAGGTCTCTCTTCTGCTTTTCTGCCATAGATATCATCCAGTATCTCGCTTCGCCCGATGAATTGTATGGTGACCTCCCATCCAGGTTCAACTAGTTGTTCCCAGAAGTTTACAAGAATACGTGTATCTTCGGGTTTCAACTTGATGATCGAAAACGTATTGTTTGTGTCGCTGGAATCCTCAAGCTGCTCACTGTACCATTCGTGTAGGTAGCAATCCACGAAAACCTTTTTGATCAGTGCTTTCATTCCCTGTAGCTTGTGTTATTTATATGCTATATCAAGAAATGAAGATAACTTACCTCCCATGTTTTGCAAGCCTCATACGGGAAACTCCATTTTATGCCAACTGGGTCGACAAATGTAACTGGAGTTACCTTCTCCTTGGTTTTATGCTCGGTTGAATTTGCTTCTGTCGATTTGACCTGGTTCTCTTCGATAGGATGACTATCCAAGGGGACTTTATGTGAGGTTTGGGCACCAATTTCCGCACTCTTGCTAGCTTTGGCAGAATCCAAGGCTTTGTTCTCGCTTTGATCTAATAATCTTAGTGAAGTGATGGGTAATTATCTGCAGTTGACCAACCATTGTCGTAATCCATAACTGAGTCTTTGGCAAGGCTCCGGTGAACCACCTCGAAGTCGCTTTCCACAGCTACAGAAGCCATGGGTTCTGCTTTGTCTTTCACCAACATTTAAGATTGAAAATGTCGGAAACAATCACGAGTACTACGCGGCGGTGCTGCGCTTATGTACGAGCATGTCCTACTTAACTAACGCAGCACATGTTTCACCGATTTTGACGGTTGTCAATCCATATTTCCCGTGAAATGCCGCAATGGGGGCTTAGCAGGCTTGGGTGCCAATCAAGAGACTGCTGCCTATCTGGGGGCCGAAATGGCGCATACATCCTTGCCAGCCTACGCGTCACAAAATTTGAGGAAGCGAAAACTTTTCAAGTCAATCGTTCAAGACCTTGTATGGTATTCTATCGTACGTTTAGTAGATACGCTAAATTAAATTCTTGATGAAGGCAACCACGACTTCCCGTTAATAGTAGATTTATTCCTCGCAAGATTTCCAGGATGCTTAACAAAACTTCACTGACTCAGAGTGCATAGCCAAGAGGAGGTTTCAGCCCCTCAGAGCTTTATTTGGTAGGATTCGATTGCTACGTGCACCGATATAATAGGTAGAAATAATCGACCAGCTGTTTGTTTTGGTTTCAGCCTCGCTGCAGGGCGATGATTTTAGCGTGGGGGCGGTTTTATACCTATCCAACTTTCCCCGCTTGAGCACAAGGTACTGCCTACACAACCTTTTTGACTTTCTAGAGATTCTAACTTTCCATAATGGAATCTTCAACCAGGCCTACTGGCTCTAATAAATGCGAAACCACTTCAATTATTCGCAGATTTACTGATACACTCGAAGCGGATAGCCCTTTGGAGGCTGGAACCAAAGCAGCTGCACATCAAGATAGCGAAAATTGTGAGGGGACAGCCAAAAACGAATCACAAGAGTGAGTTAACCGAACATGTGTTCGTACGTATAAGAAAATCCTCTCGTCAGACTAATTCTATGCCCAAGTCCATTCCAAGAAGTCGCCTTTGTCCGAGAGGCTTTAAGGAGCAGCTGTGAAGAGTATTTCTCTTCCCTGGAGAAGGAAAGAAATGATCATCGTTTCTTTCGCAAGCACAAGTCTTCTGTGAGCAACAAATTGGAAGGTCAAATCCGCCAAAGCGGTGCAGAAGACTTGGACAGTTTCAAAGAGATTGTAGATGCAATTCAGAACGACTGGAAGAGTAGTCATGGCGTTGTCTCCTCCAACTTTCACAGCATCTGCAAGACTCTTGATGCTCACAAGATGATCGTCACATGGTTTCCAAGCAAGAATGAATATGCATCGGTCCTGTCCAGTGCGCTGAAGATGGTTTTGCAGGTAGGTTAACGGCGTTTATACGCGGACAATTACGCAGTTGTTGACCAGGTGAAATAGGCATCATTAAACCACGAAGAAATTGCGGATTACCTATCCGGTGCTGTAGCTTCACTTTGCGAAAGAGTGTCGATCTGCACCAAGTTGCTACCCATCATCAAAACAGACGAATTAAAGGCACAGCTCGCGGAAGTATACAAGAAGCTTTTCGTATTTCTTTGGGAAGCAGCAAAGTGGTTCAAGAAATCAAGCGCTCGAAGGTTTTTAAACAGCTTCAACAAAACCATTGTAGAAGAACGGAAAAAAGCCGAAAGTGGCATCAACTCTGCTATAGATCTGATCAGGGAGCGTAGTCAGGTGGAGGGGCTGCGGTGGACCAACGAGATCAAAGACAGTAGTCGGAACGTGGAAGACCGTTTAAAAGAGCTGGCCATCAAAGTCGACGAATGCCGAGAAGAAAATCGCTTTTCTCAACAGGAACTCGTTACAATTGGTAAAAGAATGGTACTACTGCTCGAACAAAACTGGAAGAAGGCGGATTTTGAAACCAAAGGTATGCTATCGCCTACTTTAAAGATCAACGTATTAACTGCAAATGACAGTGGAAGAACAACACGACATGCAGTTCATGACGACACATTTTTTGGCAGCAGTGCCCGGAAACTCGCTACTGCACGAAAGACAAGAGGTCCAAGTTAATCAAAGCTCGAGATCAGAAGTGGATTCGTACTGCCAGAAGTTTAAAAAATCCATTTTCGGAACAGATGGTCTTGCTCTCGCATACGAGGGCAGACTTTTGATGGCGGATCCAGACATTATCTACCGAGTCTCGAATTGGGCAGCACGTGCCTCGACCGAGCCCCAAGTTCTTTGGATCGAGTTTCCCTTCGAGTTACAGGAAGATTCGAGTGCACGGATGGCCGCATTAGGCGTTATCCTTACTGCTGCGCAAGCAGATGCGCCTTTCATATCCTACATCCCTGGACGGCCAAATGCAGCAGATATTCCTCGCTCGCAATCGATGGAGGAAGCAGGCTTGTTGTCTGTTGTATATGGGTTGATAAAGCAGCTCCTCCGCTTCAGGCCGGAAAATGATTCTTTTAGAATCGAAAACGATACACTCCAACAGCTCGATGGAAGTATGAGAAGTTGGCGAGTAGCTTTGAACTTACTTAATAGTTTGCTCAAGCACACGACTATCCTCCGGTACTGCATCATATACGGGCTGAACGACTTTGAGGGTGAGGAGTCTGAGGGCCTTTGCATGGAGTTAATTAAGCTGCTCTTGTCTCACTCTCATCGAACGGATTCTCCGCTAAGCTTCCTTTTTACAACAAGCGGCCAATCAAGAGTCATGAATGAAGTCATTAGAAGGGAGGATCGGGCTTGGACGGGAGTGTCGATGAGGATGCTAGGGAAACGAGGACAGAATATCAGTGTATAATTCCTATGAAGTGAATTATTAGACCGGCGGTGGGCAGGGAAGATTTAGACGAGAATAACAACGGTTGGTTATTGTTGAACAGTGCGAGAAAGCTGGACACTGCTGTCGCATTAAATTGAGTGAAACTGTCTGCTTAAATACACGACTTCCCTGGGTAGAAAGG